AGTCTCGAAGATATCCGATAGTCGCCTTATTTCCTAGCCCTTGGCAGTTCCAGCTCAAAATCTTCATTTATGGCTGGTTGGTTTAGGCGGTTTGGCACCTCCTTGGCCACCTCTGTCCGTTTCTCTAGCTCTCAGGATAACCCCATCACCATCAACTACGGAGGATTTTGGTGCAGCTCGCTTCCGGGGAGTAGTCACCATATGCGGAATGTGCTTCTTTGAACTGGCGCCGAGCAAAGCAATACCCTTGCCACGACTGATCTTCTCAGCTCCCGCTTCACCACTATCAACCTCACCCGACGTGTCCTCAGCCAAAGAAACATCCATGGCATTAACTTTTGCATCCGTGAGCAGCTCAGTCGTCACCTCAAGAAGATGGTCCTCCCGGTTTTTATCCTCTACCTCCGTTGTGAGCTCCAGTACCAGCACCATAACGCCCTCACACTCCTCCATTGGCTCAGCTGCATTCCAAAGTGCCACCTCCATAACTACCTTAGGAGAAGGAACCAATGCGAGATCCTCCTCAACCTGCAAAACTAACTCTTGCTCCAACTCCAAGGCAGCGATTGTATCTGAATCCACATCATCCACCTCAACCTCTGGAATCACTTCCAAGGATTCAGATTTTTGAAAAAGAGCTTTTTGGACCTGTTTGGACCGAGTATTCATCACAGCTGGCTTGCGAGGCTCCACAATAGACACCTCTTTAGTAACCGCATCATAGACTGTCCTCCTATGGGAGTTGAGTGACGCATAGTTATTGTATCTCCTTGGATGGGACAAAAGCTCACCACAAAAATGACCCGACCTAGACCGACTCCCTCTCTGCTGCGACCACCTCTTGTTCTAGAAACCTCTTCCTTGTTTTCCGACTTCAGAGGGCCCTTCTGCTTCCCATCATATTATGGACCTCTTGGCGTTCTTGTGACGCAGCACCTTTGTAGCTCTGGCTTTGCCTTTCGTCATCGTCATCTTCTGCAGCATCCGAGACCTTAGAAACCAAGGACTCACAGAAAGCCTCCTTGTGACACAGGCTGAAACACAAGCGACAGTAACCGAAGAGACGCTCGTACCGCAGCGTCATTGTGGCCTCTTCCCCGGTGCCAAACTGGATCTCTGTTTCGAACACAAGCGGTTTAAAACCATCAATAGTGACCCGGACCCGACCGCCATCGATATCCACTTCTTGGACAGCACCAAGATCCTCTCCAATACTCCGAAAGGTTGGATTGACCTAATATTGTAACGGAAGCCCCAAGATGCGGATCCAGAAAGTGATAGCAGATGTGTACGACGCCTTCACCGACGGCTTCCACCTCACCAATGCAACCATCCAGTAGTCAAAATGAATAGGTTCCATTTTGAGAACTTCCTCAATGTCCGCTTCACTCTCGAAATCGAACTGAAATTTTCCTAGGCCAAGGTCAGCTCCCACGACTCTCCCTTCCAACTACCAGATGCGAGGCAGCATGAATATAAGAGATTTCATATCCTGACAACGCGCATTCATACAACGCCCAATCACCGTTTTGGAGTAGCCTTCAATGAGAGCGGAGTTATCAAACAATGGCAACTTGATCTTTGTTTTTGGAACCGGAATCGCCACCTGCTTGCTAGAACCATTGGACTTGATCACATTGCTCTGAGACATCGTGATTGGAAAGATGAAAAAAGACAAAAGAGAACCATAGTAAGCCGAGAGAATTGTGGAAGAGAAATGAGAAAAAGCAATGAGATGAAAAGTAAGACTTCCCCAATTAACCAATTTATAGCCGTCACCACTCCACATAAAGACCATAAATCAGAAGATAACCCCAATCGTAATCTTCCCAAAACAATCTTTATATACATATGATATTAAGATTTAATTAGAGATGTCAAGTGGGTTATTAATCAATTGGCTTGGCCAAAACAGTACTACAGTGGACGGATATAAATCGTAAGGTTGTGAATGGATACAGCGGTTTGAGCAGGCAAAACCATCTATGTAACTAATCATTTTTTGTTTACCATTCATTAATTGTATCTGCAGTTGTGACGTTTCAAAAAAAACAAAAAAAAATTGTTGCGGACCAAGTGTAGACCAAATTCATGTATAAATAGAGTTGGTCCGCCGTGGTTTATTGTCCGCTCCAAAAATAGAATGGACTAAACCGCTGACAGATTTGTCCATCCTGACCGCTTTAATCATTCACACCTAAATATATTATATTCGTTATAAAGTAGGCCTCGCGAGCACAAATATATGTGAATAGCAAGTTTTAGCAGATTATGCTCGTGCATCTACATTTAATTTCTATATCGACATGAAAATTTTATTTACGGTAATAATTAAATTAATTTTATTTGACAGATAATATTTTTATATTGATGGCGTTATATAACAAAATGATAAAATGATAATTTATCCATGTTATAAAATTAGGTTAATGATCTTTTTTATGTACGTTAATTTTGGAATTGAATTAGACTCAAAATGGGCTGGACTTGATAGACATCATATCATCTCCAATAGACTTTTCCATGTTCTCATTGGCAGCCCATTAAGTGCATTTCTCCTTGATCTTCGATCTCTTTTGACTACTTGGTCGAATTTGCTGATGAAAAACGAGATTGGTTGACTTGTATCATTTCTTTACCTTGAGATTAGTAGAAACATTTCATGGTTGCCAAACATAATTCTTGAAGCTCCTAAGCCACTTGAACCTAAAACTCTTCTAGTGAAAACTAGATTGATCTCCTTTGGCCCATGGGATGGACCAAATCTTATATTTTTAGACTTGTTGAAACATAAGAGATCAATTAACATCTCCAAGTGGTTTTGTGTCGAAATTGTTGTTGGTCTAAATACCACTATCTTTGGCTCAGACTCGAAACTGGCTTTGGGACAGTTCCACTAACTTGAAAGTTTTAGATAAGGATAGACGAGATATAAATTAAAAGAACTAAATAAAATGATGAAAAAGGACAATTTGTTCGGCTGCTGAAATTATGAACCAATGAGATTAAATAGTTGCTTCCTATTGCCACACCATTCCTCTTATCTCACTACACCCACTCAATTTTAATATGTTGTCAGTTTGTCACAATACTAGTAAAGCATAATTTGTTATGTAATAATTTTTATATTTAGAGTATAGTTTTTAGGAGGTAAGATTTACTGTTTAGAATTTAAGACTTGATTTTGAAATTTTAATTTTGAAAGTTTAATTTTGGAAAATAGGAGAGTGTGTGCTAAATTTGAAAAAAAAAACATAAATTAGTGTTATTTTTGAGAATTTTCCATAATTGTTTCATTAAAAATTGTAAAATCTATATAGAGAAATTCTTCAAAATATTACATTTTTATTGTTCTCTTTCCAAAAAAAAACAAATATTAACCTTTTCATAAATATCCAAAAGTTATATTTTTCTTAAATTGCTACAAACACAAAATTTGGTTTTTAAGGGTTTAAAATTTACTATTTTAACTTTATAGTTTACTATCTTATATTTAAAGTATAGTTTTAAGAGGGTATTATTTAATATTTAGGATTTAATTTTGAAAATTGAAAGATTAATTTTAGTAATGGTATTTTGGAAAAATGTATATTTTAATAATATTTTTTAGAAAATAAAACTAATAATAAATTTTTTGAAAATAGAATATTTATGAGAATTATCCATCTATTTACAATAATTAATGCTATTAGTGTAATTAGATAATCACTATAGGTGACTAGTGATAATATTAACAATTACATAGATATATATTACTGGCTAAAAATAATTACTTACTCTAGTTTTCCACCAATAAAGAAAAAAATAATTAATCTTTTTACTATTTTTTTTGGGCAAACATGGAAAAAAATAAGATATATTTTCTGTTTCTTTCCTCATTTTAGTAATTCCTCTTCAAGAAAGATCTTAATAACCCAACAAAGTCACTTCTTCTTCAATCACTGAACCCCAAAAGAATAAAAAAGCATTAAAGAAAAAAGTATGTCTCTTCTTCTTCAACCTCACCTCATCCTCTACCTACTAATCTTGACGGCGGTGGTGGTTAACGGTGAGATTCTCCGACCAAGATTCTACAGTGAGACATGCCCTGAAGCTGAATCCATAGTAAGAAGAGAAATGATGAAAGCTATGATCAAAGAATCAAGAAGCGTTGCTTCAGTCATGCGTCTTCAATTTCACGACTGTTTTGTCAATGTAAAGCTCATAGAATCTTTCTCTTTCTCTCTTACTCTCTCTGTTCTTGATTCTTAACTCTGTTTCTCTAATGAATCAATTCAGGGATGTGACGCATCTGTGTTGCTTGATGATACACCATACATGCTTGGTGAGAAACTATCACTTTCCAACATCAATTCACTGAGATCTTTTGAAGTTGTTGATGACATTAAAGAAGCTTTAGAGGAAGCTTGTCCAGCTACTGTTTCTTGTGCTGATATTGTTATCATGGCCTCTCGTGATGCTGTTGCTCTAGTAAGTAGAGAACTCACTTTCTTTGGAACATTCTCTGTTTAGTGGTTTCGGTTTTGTGATTTTGGTCTTGAATAATCAGACAGGAGGACCTGATTGGGAGGTGAAGCTAGGGAGGAAAGACAGTTTAACAGCGAGTCAGAAAGATTCAGATGATATAATGCCAAGTCCAAGAGCCAATGCAACTTTCTTGATTGATCTTTTCGAAAGATTCGATCTTTCTGTAAAAGACATGGTGGCTTTATCAGGGTCTCACTCAATTGGTAAAGGTCGATGTTTCTCGATCATGTTTAGGCTTTATAACCAGTCCGGGTCTGGTAAACCTGATCCAGCTTTGGAACCAAGATACCGTAAGAAGCTTAACAAGCTTTGTCCTTTGGGTGGAGATGAGAATGTGACTGGAGATTTGGATGCAACACCTCAGGTTTTTGATAATCAGTACTTCCAAGATTTGGTTTCAGGGAGAGGGTTTCTGAACTCTGACCAGACTTTGTATACGAATCGAGAGACAAGAGGGTATGTGAAGATGTTTAGTGAGGACCAAGCTGAGTTCTTCAGAGCTTTTGAACAAGGGATGGTGAAGATGGGTGATTTGCAATCTGGGAGACCTGGAGAGGTTAGGTTAAATTGTAGAGTTGTTAATAGAAGTCCTATTGGTGTGTTGTTTGACTCTTGAACTAGAGAGATGTTATGATTTCTATATAGTTGCAAAATCTTTTAATACTTACATGCCATGCCATGATTCTTGAATTTCCATAAGTTGATAGAGAAGCCTGCGGTTGCATCTTCGATGCCTAGTCAGTAAAATCATATAGCTATCAAAAATCACAAAACAATGAGACTTGGTTTATCTGAACATGTAACTCTGAGGTACACAAAGAAACTCAATGTATATACATTCCATGTTTTACGGTTTCCGAATTTGCAATCAGTTACAATGCTTACCCTCAGAGACAAGTTTAGAAGCATACTAAGAACTTAGACGCTGTTTTAGTATGCTGCTTCTTCAATAAACTCTCTCTAGTCTCTAGTACTTGAACCAACTGATTAAGCCTTTTCTTGTTCCTCTCCTCTAGATACAACACAAATGTCTCAGTAGCCTCTGCATATGTATCCATACATTGCAAACCATCTTGCCTGCAGCTACACATACAAGTTCCAATTACATCTTTGAAACCGAAACAAGTCTATCGACTAAACTAGTCGTTGCACGATGTTTTTCATCGAATTTTACAATGGAAACATTAGTATATGAGCAAACCAAAGAACACAAATACTAAAACTAACCATACTCAGGACATGAATCTTTACAAAGATGATGCACACAACAACAAAAACCCAAAAAAACCAAACAGATAACTAGAGGTCAAGATGGCATTGTTACTTAACTAGTAAGATTGCCCAAGTGTTGAGATTTTGAGAGCTCAATTAAATTCACAAGTTTGAGAATTTGACAATGAACTCAACATAGAACAAAAATGGCAACTGAACAAATCTCTCAGGTACACAGGAATATTCAAAATGTAATAAAAACATTATCTTTTTAAAGAACAAAGCTTTTGGGTTATAATGGCATCTATGAAACTTTCAGATTACATAGAGTTAGATAAAGTCTTTATGAGATTCAGAATTTGAAGATTTACCCTCCACGATGAGAAACAGAAGATGTCTTACAATCGCCGGGAACAACAGATGCACCTCCGCAATCTCGCGGCGAGGCGAGAATAGGGTTCACCGGAGAAGAGAACAGAGTGTAAATCAAACTTTGGGTTTGAACATAACTGGGCCGAAATACTAATGTAAGGCCCAATTTGATTAACAGCTTAACCGGTTCCAGATTATACGTGATCAGAGTCAAATGTTCCGGTTTATTAAGTAAACCAGTTTAAGGTAACAGAGGTGATGTTGGTTTGACCATCTTGTTGCTCTAACGAGATGGTCCATCTATTATAGTATTTGACTGATGTTCATTTCTATATATACACCGCGGGACGATTGTTTTGATTAAATAATATATATATATAAGTTATATTTGTTAATTTTATTACCTTTTTAGTGTTTAAAGATTCTGTAGTTGTATTTTTGATTGTTTTTTTTATTACTTAACTCGTGGGATATTGTTTTGTAATTGGCGGGACTAAAAAAATTATGTTTAAGTTATATTTGTTATTTTTTTTGTTATGTTAACCCGTAAGATAACCCGTAAGAAAAACATAAAACTCAAACCCGTTAAATCATATTTATGTAAAATATAAACCTTGAATGTTTTATAGATTTCGAAAGAGATTTTGGTTTTTGTTTTCCAAACACTCATTTTTAACCATTCAAGATTTTAAAATTTTGTGGTTTTAAAATTTTGTATTCCCTAAAATTTAGTAAAACATTTTTTGTTGTAATCTTTCATTCAAGATTTTGGATTTTTAAGTTTCATATTAGTCATATTTATAATGGTTCCGAACCATTGTCTAAAATTTTCTACCCGATGTGGGACGTTATACATATATGTTTTTTCTTTTATCGATTGAGTAGTATACGTCCGTTTTAAAAAATTCAAATTGCTACATATGGGAAAAAAATTTGTATTTTTATTATACTTATGTTTTATGTAATAATTTAAATTTTAAAACAAATAAGATCATATAAAGATATTGGAGAGATATTCAATTTATTAGGGAGACATTTTAGGAAATTTTGTTAATGTAATAAATATTAGTTTCTAATTTTGCGATTATGGTGTAATTTAATTACAAATTTTATCTTAAAATTTTGTTATTTATTTAAATGGCAAGGATTTATTATGCAAATAATACAAAATAAAAGGTTATTTTCCAAAAGGTACTTCAAAAATGTTAATATAGATAGTGTATATATATATCTGTTGTATTTATATGCTCAATTTAAATGCAGTCTTGTTTGTTGAGAAATATACTAAAATATTCCTCTTGAATTTTTTTTTTCTCTTCTATAATTTTATAAGGTATTTATGGAATATAACTACTACTGGAATGCTCGATTTAAATATTTATAAAAAAAATTAAAGTTTTGAAATGTTTTACAGATATTTTACATGGTTTAAAAGGTAGTTATACAGTAATGGTATATAAACAGTGATACACATATATATAATTAGTTTGAATATTTTTATGAGTTTACATACATATTAAAAAAATTATCAGATTTTTACTGGTATTTTTTATAAACTTTTCAAAATATATGGGCTAAAGGAGTATTTTTGAAATCTCCTTTTCTATTTTCTTATAACTTTTTTAAGTATGCATATGCATCCGAATACACAAAATGCCAAAATAATTAAAATAAATAATTTTACAAAAAGAGTTTTAAATGTTAATAAATAGTGTTGTTAAAAATGGTCTTAAGTTCGAGCGTAAACAATTGATGCACATAAACCATTGACTGAATTATGAATCTATTTTTACTGAAAAAGTGAAACGAAGCAGTTTTTTGAAAATCTATCTTATTATTTTTGCAGCCACTTTTTTGACCACTTTGGGTTTAAGCTATTTTTACTAACAATGCCCTTCTTTATAACTAAACAATGAAATGTCATTAAGGTTAATCATGTAATTATATTGTCGGGTCGGTTATAATCTTTTAATTACAACCCGATTGAATATTCTGGATCTAACATTTAATACAATTTGATACGAGGAGTCATAACTACATCGCATATGAAGGCGCTTATATTCATCTTTCCTTCTATAACTACATGCCATTAATGTTTATTAGTTGTTACAAACTTCTCCTTCGAAATTTGTGTAATCAATTCAATATTTAAATATCTTTCTACGTGTGTCTAGATAACACCTCCGCTTATATAATACAGCCAAAAATATAAATTAATTTCAAAATAACATAATATAAGATTGATTTGTCTAAATTCAGAAACAACATTAACAAGGATCCATAACTGCGTCGCATAATGTTAGGGATATATGCCAATCAGATCTTTTAATTAACTGTTACTTTCTATACAATAGTAATTTGCTTTCCAAAAACTTTGAAATTACTTACACTTGGTCGTCAAGTCAAGCGATAGGTTACAAAGTCCTACACCACGAATCCTCTACTATATATATCTGTGTCATGTACTACAAAATCTGGTCGTCAAGTCAAGCAATAGGTTATATTTCCATTCACCACTTCCTCAATTATCCGCAAAACCACAATTCAAAGCAAACAATAGCATAAGAAATTAGTCACTTTTTTATCAATGATGGTAGCTACAAAACAGTTTGGAGGGTCCAAGTCAAAGTTTGGAGACTCTTGAATGTATTTTCGCTGATGATAAAGTTAATATCACCTAATTCTCTGTACTTTTACTAAATCCTATTTTGTTTATCGCTAATATTTGTTGTCTCTTATGTTTCAAAGTGTTAAAATGGAACAGTGGTTACAAGCACTCACCCTGTCTCAGACTCAAACTACTTAACCTTGGGTAAGTTTCAAAACATTCAGTGTGGTGATCTAAATAAAGAAAAATGATATGCAAGACTTCAAGTAAATACTTCTTATGAGATACTCAAGAGGAGTGAATGCCAGATTGATACTGTAATTCATTCGTCTCTACTATTTTTCATCAGACCAAAGCACGAAAGTCTTGGATTTGAGTCCTACAAAAAAAAACATATGGTACTTTATGTTAAGAAAGAGAAAAGTAAAAGAACTGAAAGCTTAAATTACATCACTCTTTAAAAGAAGTGCACGTCCTTTGCCACTACATTATTCTAATTTCTAAAGCTTGAGCAATATGTAAAGCTACTATTTGATGCATCGCCCACTTCATCAGTTGTGACTCCCCTAAAGAAATCAAAACAATAGTAACTACAGAATCATAACCAAAGAGACGAGTGAAATTTATGAACGTACCTTACAATAAGTTCAAGAACTGGCCAAAGTCTGATTAGGCATAAACTCAACAACAAGAAGTCTCTCTTTGCCTTAATAATTGTTTGTGCAAAGGGGAGCAGCTACAATAATGATACGAGATTTTGGGGACGATACGAAACAATTTTCTTTATTAGCTTTTGCGGAAAACCGGAGGTTAAAAAGAGAGAAGTCTCGCCGCGGCAGTTATAGACTATCTGCCGAGCCGAGAACTTTGTACGAAACAGAAGTGTAAAATCACGAGCGAGAGAGACGCGGCGGGAATCTCGGGCTAGAGAGAGTTCGGGCACGGCGCAATTCTCTGTCTGGTGGATAATAACCTCTAGAACGACCAATGTTCCAAACAAGGGATTAATGTATTTATAGTGACACAGAAACCTAGGAGTCCATTGTGTCTCCTTGGCGAATGACGATTTTACCCCTGCAAAAGTGCTAGGCCTATTTTGTGAGAAAAGCTTGTTTTAATTGCACATCTTGTTTAAGGGCCTTCTAATATTGGAGAGGGCAAAGGCCCATATCCAACAATAACATAAGGCATTTGCAACAAAAATATTTAAGAACGAGCACCTATAATTCTTCATAAACATACAAAACATTTAATTAAATACAAACTACATACTAGCTCAATTTAAAATATACAATAGAAAAATAGAAAAAAAAATAACTTGTGGTATACCACGGGGCACAGGGTAAATCACTTCATTCGTTGCCACATGTATGAGAATTAATATATGGACGAAGGGATCATGGCCTCGGCACCATTAGACATTAGCTATTCTTTTTCAATTATCCTTTGCATTTTTATTCTGTACATTCATTTTTGAGTTGTATATTTTCATGAATGAAATATAGCAATTTTAATATTTTCTTTTAAATGTAAAATTGAAAATGTAAAAATAATTTTAGTAGTACAATTACGTTTTCCAATAGTCAAAACAAGATAAATAACTAAACTTTAAGAATTCCTAAATTCTATGAAAAACGGGGTAAGATCAATCATACCCGTTCTGCCAAGTTTTCTTTAAATTTAATTAGTGGTATTCTATTATATATATATATATATATATATATATATATATATATATT